CCCCCCCCACACCTTGCCCAGCAGCGCCGCCCCCACCCCCGCCAGGGCCCCCCGCACGGCACCGGACGAGAAGTAGAAGACGAGGGGGTCGATGGCGGCGTTGAGGCTGCTCAGGAGCGTCGCGTAGACCCTCCAGGGCGGGCTGCGGCCCTGCACGAAGCCCACCACGTGCGACACGTTGTAGGGGGCGAAGCAGAGCCCGAAGTTGACCATGGTGGCCACGGCCAGGCCCACGGCGCGCCGGCGCTTCGCCCGTGGGATGTTGGGGCGCGCCAGCAGCGCCCGCACGAAGCCGACGTAGCAGAACACGGTGACGCCGAACGGCACCAGGAACATGACGAGGAAGAGCTCGAGGCGCAGCGGGAGGACAAAGCTCAGCTGGTCCTCAGAGAAGTCGTCGTAGCACCTGAAGGGGATGGAGGGGGCAGGGGAGGTGGAGGGGGAGAGGTTGGGGGGCATGGAGTGGTTGGGATAGGTCGTGGAGTAATGGGGATTGAGGGTCTTGGAGAGGTTGGGGTAGATCTTGGAGTCACGGGGATTGAGGGTCTTGGAAAGTTTTGGGTTGGGGTCCTTGGAGAGGTTGTGGTTGGGGGTCCTGGGCTCGTGGGTGTTGGGCTCGACAGTGTTGGGGGTCTTTGGCTCATGGGGCCTGAGCCCGCCCCGCTGCCCTGCCCCGAGCCCCCCGCCGTGGTAGGAGGCAATGAAGACGATGGAGCAGTGGGAGCAGGCCAGGAGCCAGAGCACGGCGCTGGCGGCCGCCACGCGGCCCAGGCGGCCCCGGCCCCGCAGCCGCAGCGGGAACGCCACGCCCAGGTAGCGCCGGACGCTCAGCGCCGTCAGGAACAGGCTGCTCAGGTAGATGCTGGAGTAGAAGCAGAAGTTGGCCACGGGGCAGAGCGCGGCCGGCAGCGGCCACACCATCCCCGCCGCCGCCTCGGCCATCTTGAAGGGCAGGAAGAGCAGCAGCAGCAGGTCGGCCGCCGTCAGGTTGAGCAGCAGCAGGTCGGACGGGGACGGGCGGTGCCGCCGGGCCTTGGCCACCAGGGTGGTGAAGGTGAACACGTTGGCCGGGAACCCCACGGCAAAGGTGAGGATGTAGATGGTGAGGACCAGCATGGTGGGGCTGGGTGGGCCTGGGCGGGAGAGGGGTCCGACCTGGGAGGGGGCACGGGTGGGTCAGGAGGGACACAGGTAGGCCAGGAGGTGCCCCAGGAAGTTTCCCCTGGTCCGACCATGGGGCCCCGGTGGGACACGGAGCAGAGCCAGGTATCCAGGTGGACTCACCCAGGCGTTTGGGGAGACCCCCAGGGAACTGGGGGGCACTCCAGATACCCAGGGGTGACCCAGGTGTCCAGGGAGGGGCCCAGGTGCTCCCCCAACCCTCACCCATTCCCCCTACATACCTGGTTATCGTGGGGGGATGTTGGAACCCCCCTAAGCTCCCAGGGCCTCCCAAACTTCAGGAGTCCCCTGTCCTGTGGCAACGGGGTGGGCAATGGGGGCCACCCCGCTGTTCAGGTGCCCCGTCCCTGGGTGACCCCGATTTTTGGGTGTCCCCGGGGCGGGGGAGGGGTGGGGATGTGGCTTTGCCGACGTTGAGGAAGTTCCGATGTTTCCTGACCACAACGTCTGGGGTGGCTCTGCCCCTCCTCCACTGCTCCCAGGGTGCTCCCCCACCCCCTCCAAGACACCCCAAGCTCCCCCAACTCCCCCCGTCCAAACCCACCCCATCAGCCAGACCCCCGGGGCTGGAGAAAAGCAAGAGAAAGAGGGATCCAGAAAGGGGGTGTTTTTGGGAAAGGAAAAAAGAGGATCCTCTGAGGCAGTTTGGGAAGGTCCACGCAGGTGTAGGGGGGGAGACAGATGTGATGGAGGACCCAGGTGTGCAAGAGGACACAAGTGACACAGGTGACTTTGAGGACACTCAGGTGTCCTGGGGGAGACCCAGGTGTCCGGGAGGGGAAAGAGGTGTCCAGGTGAGTCCCCGGCCACGAGGGGAGACCCGGGTGACACCCAGGTGAGTCCCTGGCCGACAGGTGACACCTGAGAGGAGGGTCAGGGGGATTTTTGGGTGAACCCGAGGAGGTTTGGGGGGGGGTAGAGGGGTGGGCGTAGAGGGGGTGCCTAAAAAACAAGGACCACCCCTCAGCCCTCTGTGCTGAGTAGGTCAGAGGGGTCCTGGCCCCACAAGTCTATGGAATGGACATGGGGACAGGGAGGGGCAGCACTTGGGGGTTTTCCTTGGAAGTAAAAACTAGAGCTTCTCAAAACCTGCTTCTTGTCCCAGACCAAAGGTGCCCGCCCAGGAAGCTCTTGGGGCTGGCGATGTCAACGACCAAAATGATCCTGAGTCACCTTTTCACACAGGTGGGGTCAGTTATGGGGGTCCCAGCAGTTACTTGGGGATCTGAGGGGGAACTGGGAGGTCCCTGGGGGGTCCAAGAGGGTCTTGAGTGGTCTGGGAGAGGGGAGGGGGGGTGTCAGAGATCCAGGGGGGGTGTGGAGTGTTAGAAGCCCCACAGGGGCCACCCTCCCCACAGCCCCCCCAGCCCCTGAGGGACCCCAAATATCCCCTGGGACCCCCTCCCACCTCCCTTCCTGCTTGAGACCCTCCCAGGAGCCTCCACTACCCCCCCTCAGAGACCCCTCAGTGTGCCCTGGGACCCTCTGAGACCCCTCTGATGACCCCTGGCACCCCCCTGAAGCCCCCCCGCCCATGTGCCCTGGAATCCTGTGAGACCCCCCCAGTGGCCCCTGGGA